AGTAAATACTGACATTGAAATATGACTCCTTGAAATTACACACAAAATATCTTAGAACTTTTTACTGGCTTTTGTTTAATAATTCAAAATCAATACCAAACCAGACTTAAGGAAGGCAAAAGGCAGCTCCAAAACCTTCTTCATGCTTCCTAGTCCTCCTACTATACAGTCCTTATGGCAGCTCACACCTCACTGCCCAGCTCATGGGGCAAGCTGGAGGGATCTTGGGCTGCTTCGGAAAACACTGTCCCCAGGGAAAATACCCAGAGCTCTCGGGTTGTACCTGTACTGGTCACATTCCCTCCACTGATCTTTTCTTGAGTCAGGGCATGTAACTTCCTGCTGCAAAGGTGCCCTCTCAGGCAGGCACAGAGTAAAACCCCCCATATACCCCTGTGTTCAGTTCAAACTTCTCAGGAACTAGATAACCTTCCTTAAATCTTTTGCGTACCTCCCATTATGCATAGGGACACATATGCAAATCAGGTCCCAGCAGCAGCCTTAGACTCTGATCATTCTTTGCCATGGGGCTGTCCTGTGCACTGTAGGACATACCGGTATGCCAGATGCCAGATACCCACAAGATGCCAAGAGCTCTCCTTCTCCCAATTTTGACAACCAAAAAAGGTCTCCAGACATTGCCAGATGTCCCCTGGGGGCAAAATTGTCTAGGTTGAGAACCTCTGATATAAATTAGACTGAAGTAACAATTCTGTGCTACCCACAGTCAGAAAAAAGATTAGGCTCCTGCCCTGAAGCCTGGGCTGGCATACTCTGACCTGTCCCGGTGTGTCACAGGCTCTCTAAGATAGGCACCCAGCATTTTAAAGCGGGATGTCAGGCGGGCACGCAGCCAGACCCAGCAGTGCACTGGGCACTGAGGAGGAGGTGAAAGAACCTACGATGTGGCCTCTGGGCCCCAGAAGCTCAGTCATTCTGGGGGGCTGAGGGGGAACCCTTGAAGCGGTAGCCACCTCTATGGAGCAGTGGCTAAAGTTATGTCAGTCATCCAGCCAAGGCTTGCCGGAAACTGTTGCACAAGGAACAGCATGGCAGGCAGGTGAAGGACGCAGAGGCGGACCCGAGTCTAGTTAAGGAGGGAAGGGGCAAAGCAGAAAGTCCTTGTGTGGGGACATGGAGGCAGATGAAGCCCTGGAGGCATTGGGGCTGGGGCAGGGGCAGGTGATAACCACTGCGGGCCCAGGATGGCACGTGCAGGCCATGAGCGAGCTGGGACAGGCAGGCACCGAAAGTCCAGGCAGAACAGCGAGAGCAAAGGCTTGGAGGCGGAAGGCTTGGCCTCTGTGTAAGGAGCTGTGTCCAGGAACAGGAGGAATGCTTCGCAGACCTGCACAGCCAGCCTGTGCCCTAGGAATCCTGAGATGATTCTGGACCGAGGGAGTCAGGAAAGGCTTGGCCCAGCAAAGGGCAGAGTGGCACAGGTAAGGCATTTGTTGGAGCTCATGGCCTCAGATGGCCAAACCCCCACTAGCCCAGCCCTGTCGCACAGACTCCAGCCAGCCAGCTCCAGAGCAGGGCTGCCAGGCTCCTCTGCACAGGCTCCCAGGAAGCATGACCTGCCTCTCAGGGACTGTCACACAGGAGCCGTGATTCAGGGCCTCCCCCGCGCAGGTGAGTCACACACCTGCAGCCCTCCCGCCACCGAAGCTGCTGCCTGGAGCCAGCACCCATGCCCACCGAGCACCCAGCAGGTCCACTCCCTAGCACCCCACCCTCAGTCCCCCCAGTGCCCCAACCGGACCTGACTTTCCCCCGAGGGCATCTTTACAGCTGGGGCTTCTGGCAGGAAGGGCGCTTTTCCCCCTCCTGCCGGCTCTGTCAGGGCGGAGAGCATGCTTGACGCCTGGGAACCTTTCTGAGGGGCTGGCATGTACTAATTTAGCCTGCCATCAAATCACAGGTGTGGTGCTCGCTTCCCATCTTCCCGCCTCCCCAGCCAGGCTTCAGCAGCAGCTGTGGCAGCGACTTTCCAGAGAACAGCATGACACTGTCGTGTCCTCAGGGCCACCATCCGTGCCTGACTCACACCTGACAGCAGTGACAGAGAAGCCTCTCCTGCCCCCCTCCACCCCCCGTCAGAAGGAAGGTGGCAAGATGCTGCCCTCTCAGCTGGCAGGGGCCTTCGTGCTCCCATTCAGCTATGGGCACCTCATCATCTGGTGCTCCCACGCCACAGAGGGCACATGGTGTGTATCCAGGAAGCCTGAGAAGTGACTGGCAGCCATGGTCCTGCTGCGGAGTGACAGCTGGCTTCAGAGTACTGAGGCAGGGCGGGGCAGTGGGGATCAATTTAGAGCCAGCAGAAAAGACAGCCATGTCCGAGGGGAGCTGTGGGCCAGGCACGTCCCCAAGACCCTGAAATGCATACTCCTAGGTGGGTATCAGTGTAGCCACGCTCAGTCCAGGGGGCTGGGTAGCTCCTAGGAGGGTGAGGATCTGGACTGGGCAACTGTGTCTGCCACTCGCTGACAAGCTCAGCTCACCTCGTGCTGCCACCCATGAGCTCTGGGAGCAGAAAGCAGGTCAGAAGGCTCTGAAGCACAAGTCGCCTCTCGTTGAGTGCCCCTAGGAGTGGGCAGGGCAGGGTGCAGCCATGCATTGGCTCAGTCCCACAGGCAGGGCCATCATGTATGGCCCTAGAGGTTGCCTCCTGTACAAGGATCCAAGGAAGGCTGAAATCCAGCTTGCCCAACTCACTTGAGCCACATTTTTCTCATTGGAGCACATTTTTCTAATTCACACAAAGGTGCCAGTGGTCACCCATCCAGAGCTAGCAAGTGGTGGAGCCTGGACTCGACCCAAGTCGGCTGACATTCCACCACTGTCCTTCAGGGTTTCAGGCCCTATTTAGACACAGAGTGTCCTCAAGCAGTGAGGGCCCACCCACAGGCCTCTTGCCAGCCTCCTCAATAACATGAAGCACTTCCGAGGACCCAGGCACACACAGCCTTGCCGGGGACCCCATGCACTTCCCCCCTTCATTTAAACCCCTCCCCATAGCGGAAAAAGTCCATGAGGCCCAGGCAATGTGCCCTCGTGGAAACTGCCTCCCCTTCCCCACTTCTAGGCCTCGTCCCAGGTGCCCGGGAGCTTGAAATGCCCTGTGCAGACCACCTGAGCCTCCATCCAGAGCCTGCATAGCCTCCTGAGGCTGTTGCGCCCTCCACACTCCACCATACCCAGCCTCCTTCATGTCCTCACTAAGGGATGGTGGGGGCCTGGTCCTGGGGGAGGGATGGACAGAGAGGGATAGACACGCAGGCCGGAAGGCCTTTCCTGGTGCAGTGTAGAGCCTGGGACGGGAAGGGAGGGAGGCCGGGAACCTCCATCTGTACTTTTGCCATGGGGCCCCACAAGGGATGGAGGCAGGCCTGCCCCCATTTTTAAGAGGCTGACTGGCTTCCCTGCTTCCTCGCTTGTGGCCAGCTCTGATGCTGAGAGACAATGGGCTCAATAAAATTGCTGAGGGAGAGATGGGCAACTCACTCAACTTGAAAGGAAGCCTTGCTCTTGGGTCAAAGTTCTGTTTTCCTTGAAACGTCCTCTCCTCTACGTTGTTTAAGCCCTGCCTTTGCTGAGTCCCCTGCTGGTCTCTGGGAAACAGTCAGACAAAGCCTACAGGCCCATACACTGCTATTGTCTCTGAACTGGCCAGGCAGCCTTTGCCCTCCTGCTGGCCCCACCCTGTGAACCCGCTGCCAGTCTCCTCCCTGCTCACCTACCCTCCTGCCCACATTCTTGCCCTCTTAATGAGCCTTGGCATTTCAGAGCTCACCCATAGGCTGGGCCCTCCCTGTAATCCCATGACTGAGACCATGGGCTGCTGCCCTCATGTGGCCAGGCACATGGGCAGTGCCTAAAGGGAGGAGGAGGCTTCACCAGCCAGTGCTCAGGAGTAGGGGCTGTGTTTGCCCGAAGGGGGCCAATTTCAGGCAACAGTCCTCCCCTCTTCTTCTTCTCCTTCTTCATCCTCTCTCCTCCCCACTTCTTTCCCTCTTCCCTGCCTATAGCCTGCCTCAGATCCCTCACCCTGTCCTCTCTAAGCCACGTGGGCCGACATGCATTTCTGCCCTGTTGCCTCCTGCAAGAGCCCCCTGGGATCCAGCAACGTGCCGAGCCTCCCAGATTGTAAAACCAGGTGGGAGTGGGGATTGTAAAACCAGGGTGCAGACCTGTCATAGCCGAGAGCACAGCCAGGAGATAAGCCGGCAGCAGCAGTAAGGCTGTGAAGCCTGCAGAGCAGCCCTGAGCCTGGAGGAGGCCAGGCAGTGGAGAGGGAGCTTAGAACTCCGACAGTGCCCTTTCCAGGGTCTCTGCCATGCTTTCCCAGAGACCTGGTTGCTGCTGTCCAGCCAGCCTGCCCCTCCACTCTAGCCACACCTGTTCTCCACTCCCTGAGCTCACACACCCTATGCTCTATGCACCCTCCAGGCTTTGTACATGCTCTCCCCTCTGCCTGGCAGGCACTTCCCTCCTCCGCCTGGCAAATGCTACTCATCCTTAGAGATGCCATGCAGGTGTCACCTCCTCCTGGAAGCCTTCTCTGACTGCCCTCCCCCACCAGGGGCCTCCCATAGTTGCTAGGGCTTGCCCCATTGTAGCATTTATAACACATCATTATAATCACTTACTTATCTGTCCCCCTACCACCAATAACTTTGAGGGCAATAACTGTCTGACTTGTGATATCTGGCATATAGTAGGTGTTTAATAAATATTGGATAGGTAGATGGATTAACAAGCTGACGACAGACCCGTGAGTGAAGGGATGAGTGGGAAGTCCGTGCCAGCAGCCAGCAAAGGCAGGTACACCCAGAGCTACTGGGAGGAGGAGGAAGGTGGTACGGATGCTGGGGGTCCCTGACAGGTAGCCCCATGTCCCTCACTGCTTCAGGAAAACATTTATCGTAGAGGTCCTGAAGTGCCCTCTGCCTCCCCAGGCCCATCTGGTGGTGACTGCACTCTCTCCTTGCTCCTAGTATTTCTGCCTGTTGCTGGTGATCTTCCTCGTTGAGCTGGTGGCGGGGGTCCTGGCCCATGTGTACTACCAGAGGGTGAGTGGAAGTTCTTCCTTCTATGCTCCCCATCAGCATTGCCAGGAGGCACTGGCAGGGGGAGGGGTGCAGAGGGGTGGGGAAGCTGAGGCAGCGACATTCCGGGGCGTTCCTGTTTCCCAGGCCCCAGCATTCCTCGGCACGTGGGTCCTGCTTCCTGTCCCAGTTCCAATAATTCTCTCCTCCATCTGTTGATACTGATGCCTTCACATGGGAGCCGGAGGGTTGGGGGAGCTTCCATGAGAGGCGGGTGGTCCCTCTGCCCTGCGAATGAGAGGTGGAGCATGGATCTGGCTGTCAGACATCCAAGCGGAAATAAAGCTATAGGCCCAGGAAGGCTACATGCCGGACTATGAAGACAGCACCAGGCCGCGCCTGCCTGCACTGAACAGGATGAAGGGGCCATTCAGTGCCCCCGCCCCCACCAGGTGCCCTGTGAATAAGGGATTCAAGGTCATGACCAGGCTGATATTTGGCTGGGAGGGGCAGGCTGGTTGTTTCAAGCCAGTGTCCATAGGAATTACGGGTACCCCCAGGATAATGATTATAAATATTTTGAATATGTCATAATCAAAATGAAAATCAACAGATATTTAGAAGCACCCATCTGCCTAGGAGCTGTCTCCTTCCCGTCCCCCAGCTTTCGCTGCATCATCTCCGTGAACTTGGTCTCTGTGCAGCCCCCCACTGAGCATTCCATTAGACTGTTTGGGAAACGACCACATCACACCATTTGCAGTAACACAGAGCTCTAGAGTTAGCTCGTGTGGTTTGAAGCAAGCCTGGGGACCAGGATGAGGGGCTCTGCTAATGCCACCTTCCCTCTCCACCCTCCAGCTGAATGATGAACTGAAGCAGCACTTGACCCAGACTTTGTCTGAGAACTACGGGCAGCCCGGAGCCTCGGAGATCACCACCTCAGTAGACCATCTACAGCAGGATGTAAGTCCTCCCCATGGGCGTGAAAGCCACACAGACATGGGTTCAAATCCTGACTCTGCCCCTTTCTGTCTGTGTGGCCTTGGGCAAGTTACTTTCTTTCAATGTCAGCTGCTCATAGGCTTTGTGAGCATTAAGACGTGTACACATGTAGAAGCCCCACCCACCGTGAAAAGTGCTCACTTAATCCTGTTCTTCCCTTTCTCCTTCTCTGCACTCGACTTCACCATGGTTCCCCCAGCCATTTCCTCCAGACCCTACCCTGCTGCCTTCCCCTCTGGGTGCCCTGTAGACAGGAAGCCGGCCATCCCAGAAGAACTCCATCTCCTGGCTCCTTCCATTGTCAGAGCTGCCATCCTTTCCCGGGTCGGAGTGGGGTGTCTGACAGCTGAAGCCCCATAAGAGTGAACTGTAACAGGCAGACGTGTTTCAGTTAAGCTGCTGCAAGAAGCCCCCAGTTTTGCACCGTCAGGAAGAATGCTGGAAGGCAGCAAGGTGGTCTCTCCCTTCCAAGAAGAGACTCAGCAGATCTCTCCAGTGAGGCCCCCAGTCTTGCTGGGGTGGGGGGTGGGGAGCGCAAATGGACCTCAGACCTGTGCAGTCCCAAATAGCATCCACTAGTCGCATGTGGCTATTTAAACTTAACATAAAATTCAGTTCCTTGGTCACACTAGCCTCATTTCAAGTTCTGCATAGCCATGCATGGGCAGTGGCCACCCAATTGAACAGCACAGATAGAGGGCATTTCCATCATCACAGAAAGTTCTACTGGACAGCTTGACTCCGGGATCCTGATGGTTCTGTGGCTGAAAATTTGAGGCAGTGCCACCTACCCCTTCTCCCTGCCACACCACCTCACCCCTATCCTGGTCTCTGCTCCATCCTGTACCTACAGCCGTGGGCTGAGGCCTTGGTCTCTTGGTGGGAATACCAGGCAAGGAGAGGAAGTACAGGGTAGTGGGCTCTGAACTCTAGGGGCACCTTCCCCACCCCCCCGAGACAGGCTCAGCTCCACATGTAGGGGTGTCTTGTCCTCTGAAATAGTGGCCAGAGTCACCCGTGTACTCGTACGCACAGGTGCACCCATGCCCGTATGCTTAGGCAACACACACCCTGCTAGTCAGCCTGTCCGAAACTCAGTCCACACTTGGTGGGCCTCCCACATCAGTAACTGTGCCCAAATCCCTGCCCTCAGGGCAACAGGGGACATGCAGTCAGGGCTAGGCTGGGGGGACCCTCAGAGTGGAGAGCAGGGGTCGGGGAGGCCTACCGGAGGGACCAAGAAGGAGGGTGTGGCTGCTCAGGTGGAGAGGATGGGAGGGCAGGCCAGGAACAGGGAACGGCATGAGGTAAGGCACCACAGGAAGCAGACACTGCACCACTGCTGGAAGTCTCCGTGGGCACTGCAGCACCTGGCATGGGCCCTTTCACTTGCCTGGAACAGTCAGACCCAAGGGACATGACCAACCATGGGCCTGAAGCTTAGGCATGAGGAAACTGAGCCCCAAGAAGGCAGGGGCTTCAAGCCAACACCAGCACCCGGGCCCCGGCCTCACCTCGCATATGTGAATGACACCCGTGTGCCTGTATTCATACAGCTATGACAAAATAGATAGTAGGTGTCTCTTACTAACAGCTGACTCCGGGCAGGACTCTCTCCAAGTACTTTTCGTGAACCGCCTTTCAGTTCTCACAGAACCCAGTCTGGACACACTCCGTTATCTCCATTTTACAGGTGACAAAACTAAAGCCCAAAAAGGTTAAATTACCCATCCAAGTGACACACACGCAGACACGCAGACACGCAATCCCACGTGACTCAGCACATCCCCTGCTGTTCCATTCTGCCTGACTTCTCGGGGTGCCTCACCTCTCCTGGCCAGTGAGCAGAGTCAGTAGCCCCGCCTGCCCCCGTGCCACGTGCAGGCCCCTGTTGTCTCTCCTAGTAGATGGGAAAGGACAAGCTTCGGAAGGGCGGGAGACATAGGACTTATGTTGGAGCCCAGTGCCTGACTTCACTCCTGGCACATAGTAGGTGCCTAACAAACATTATTAACCGGACTAAATACACCTTCCACCCCACCCACAGCCCCTACACCAGAAACAGCCTCAAAACAGCCACGTTCTGTGGCCCATGGAGGGACGCTAAGTCTCAGTCCTCCAACTCAGAAGGGTGAGAAATAACCAGTTTCCTGGTTTTGAATCACCTTAGACCTGGGCTGGCGCCCACTGCCCTGGGAGGTGCAGAGTCCTACTCAGCACGCACACCAGGCCCCTCTGGTCACTGCTTAGCTGCCAGCTCCATAGCCTCTGGGATACCTTCTGTGTCCCTGCAGGTCTGAGGCTTCAAGGCTTGAATGGGGGCCTGGGAACCTCTGGAAAGGCTGGGTCCCTGTCTCTGCAGTCCTGCCTCCCTAGATGGCCAGGAAGCCACCCATGGTTTTGGCCCTGCCCGGAGCTCTGCCACCTGACAGTATACAGCCCCACAATCTCGGGGACCTGCCTGTATCTGTTGCCCTACCCATCTTCTCATCGACCCTCCCTGTGTCCAGGGCACCAGCATCAACTCCTTAAAGGCCTTGGGTGGATGTTTAAGGCAGCAAACAGGTGACCTGCAGGCAAATTCTGGTCCCAAAGAGACCAGCTCCCTGATCCAAACAGGGGAAAGGGAGAATCCTAGGGAGAACAAAATAGGTTGGGTTACTATTTGAATAATGTGTCCTGCGCCCTGTAACCAAGGGGCTGGAGAAGCCGCATGCAGGCTCCTCACCTCCAGGCTCTGCCTCTCCCACCAGTTCAAGTGCTGTGGAAGCAACAGCTCGGCCGACTGGCAGCACAGTGCCTACATCCTCTCTCAGGAGGCCGAGGGCCGCCAGGTGCCCGACAGCTGCTGCAAGACGGTGGTGGCCCGCTGTGGCCAGAGGGCACACCCCTCCAACATCTACAAGGTGGAGGTGAGCACCGCGCTTCAGCTGGGGCATGCAGAGGGCCCCCGAAAGGCAGGCTCGGGCAACAGGCTGGGGGAAGCAGAGCCCAGTTATTCACTGGGGAGGAGACAATAGTGCTGGGCCTTTAAAGTTCCCCACAAAGCCTGAGGGACAAATAGCTGCTACTGGGAGACTCTGGGACATCACAGCATGTCCGCACCCCCCTCCCAGCCCTCCACTCCCAGTCACCCAAGAAGCCTGTAGGCAATTGAAAGGCTGGACCAGGCCCTGTAAGCCTTTCCTCAGCCAGTTGGTTGCAGCACCACAGCCAGCCCTTCCCTCCCTACCCTCACCCGTTGCCTGGTCAAGGTGTGCTGACTTGCTGTTGCCTTACAGGGAGGCTGCATCACCAAGCTGGAGCAGTTCCTGGCCAACCACCTGCTGCTCATGGGGGCAGTGGGCATCGGGGTGGCTTGCCTACAGGTGAGTTGAGTACGGGATGAAGAGAGGGGCCTGTCTAGAAGAGCTGTGAGCCCCTCTCCCATTGGCTGAGATCTCACACCACTAACCCTTTGCACACTGACCGTGTCCTGCCCTCCCCTCCTCTCCTCTCCTCTCCCCTTCCATTTGCAGCCAAGGGTGAGTCACATGGTCACTCTCTTCCCCAGACACAGGAAGGAAAATGCCTGGGGCCTGGGGGCCAACTTGAACTTGTAAGGAAGAAACCTGGGAGGAGTATGAGTGTGGGCTCAGGTATGTGCATGCACCCTCTGTGTGTGCACATGCGGGTGGGTACATGTGCAGCCTGCCGTAGTATGTGTGGGGCCATGGGTGTGTCCACATGCATCGTGGTGAGGGTTGTATGCACATATATGTGTTTCGGTGTGCTTGTGCATGAGTGTATGTATGAGTGCATGGCATGCACTCATTGCTCTGTGTGTGTGCATGTATGCACACACATGCACGCCTGTGGATATGTGCTCCCTGTGTACACTCAGCTCTCTGCTCTGAGCATGAGCCATGCCCTCTGGTTCATTGTTCTACCCCTCTCCCAGTCACTATCCAGGAAGTCAACGTTACTCTCATGGGTCACTCTCGTCAAGGGTCAGGGAGAAAGGAGTCAGGAGGGGCATCCTCAGGGGCAGGGGCAGATCCAGCGAGTGAGCGCCCTGCATGCCCACTCGCCTGGCACTCCTGCTTCGGCCCAGCAGTCTCTAGAGGGAGCTCAGTCTTTTCCTGCCCCTCCCACTCCCAGTACTATAAGCGCCATCTAAGGAAGGGGTGAGAGCAGTGGCTGCGGCGTCAGAGGACCTGGGTCCAATCCTGCCTCTGCTCCTGTGCGACCCTGAGCAGTTACTTCCTTGCCCCTCAACTTCATCCACAAAATGCGGATCATTTCCCCAGTAGTGCAAGGGCTAGTTAAGAGTGAGGCGACGGGTGCGACATCGGCAGCGCCTGGTCCATATGGAGGCCTCCGTAAGCAGAAACTGTCTGTGACTTCAGAGTAGCTTCAGATACCTCCTCTCATTGGATCCCTACAACCTGAGACCCAGGCCAGGCGAGTAACGGTGTCCTCCTCATGTGACACATCAAAAAGCTGAGACCCAGAGAAGTGACTCACCGAGGGTCTCACCCAGGTCTCCTAGCCCTCGGTCCTTTGCTTTCCCAGACTCCCTCCCCCAACACAGAGAGCCATGGAGAGAAAAATGAGTGGTGGCAGGGCTCCTTCCAGACCACCATGCTGCTGGCCCACATCTGTGCAGGGAGAGTCCAGCTGCAGCCCAGCCCGCTGGGCCTGACCCTCTGGAGGGAGACCAGACAACCTGCGTATTTCCTCTCGGAGCCATCATTCCTCATGTGTAAAATGAGGCTCATTTTGCCTAGTTTGGTGACTAGTGAGGATTAGCAATGTACATGTAAATCACATAGCTCATTGCCAAGCAGATAGCAGGTGTTCACTAAACGGTCTCCATTGTTATTTTTATCATTTCCACATGGCACGTTGTGTCCAAAAAGCCCTAGAGGTTTCCAGGCCAGCCTGCCCCTCACCTCCACTCAAGAGCAAGCCTGGTGAGCCCCAGGTGGCATCAGCATGGCCCCCCTTTTACTTCCCAGGGCAGGCCTTCTGCCCCACATACTGAACCCCAGAGAGCTGCCAGTGGGGTCTGGTAAAGGGGCCGCTCTGTGCCCCAGCTCCTGGCTCAGCTGAGGTTTCTGGAAACCTGATCTCTACTTTGGGTATCATTACTGCAGGGGAGTCCACTCTGCATGGACACTCACCAGGCCTGGACCGTACTCTCCGTCCATTTCTTCCTGACCTCTCTGGCCTGGAGAACCTGTAGAAGCTGAAGACAAGGGCAGTGAGGCCAAGGGCAGTGAGTGGGATTACCAATGCCCTAAGCCTAAGTAACACCTGTGGGAGTAACATCGAGGAGGCCAGGTTGTCGGGTGGGGAGCCTGCAGGCCCCCAGATGCCTCCTCCCCACTCACACCCCCATCATGAAAAGCCTTGGTCCAGCTCACTATGGAATTGCTCATGGTGTCCCTCAGAGAGCGCTTCTCCTGGCCACCACTGTAGACCCCAACCCCTCTCCCAGTTTCTCCCCTCTGTTCAGCTGAGGCCTGCCCTGCAGCGGCCAAGCCTCGGGTTAAAGCTCCCTCTTCTGGCCAGTGCTGGAACTAAGTCCAGGCCAGCCACCAGCCTTGCAGGAGGGCTCAGACCAGACCTGTCCCCAGGCTCAGTCGTCCTCCTGCTGGAGCAGGCACCAGGCTCCTTCCCCACACACGTCCAGCTTAGCACTTAGAAGACCCCCCAAGGTTCAGGATATAGAAGGTCCCGATGATGTCATAATGTTTCTGTGGTCCCCAGGAACTGGAGGAAATCTTGACGTCACAGGTTTTCCTATTGATACAGGGGGATTTGAGGCGCAGAGGGGATGCAACTATACCTGAGATCACACAGCCCCAAATAGAAGTTAGTCCACTCCCACCCTGACATTCCCACACTGCAGGATAGAAACACGTTGCAGAGCCTAGAAAACTCACAAGAAGTGACGTGGGGATCTGAAGGCATTAAAAGGGAAACCAAAGGTCATTGTGGAATGGCTTCCTGGGACCTCGTTGACCCTTCTTCAGTGCTCTTGATGACAGCCAGGTGCTTGCTCAAAAATCTCAAAATAAGCGGAAAGCGTGACAGCTTCCCTGTTGAAAATGTGTGCCAAGTGCTACATGCAGGCAAGCTGTCCGAAGGGGACACCATGTCCCATGTAGGCCGGGCCCAGACAGCCTGTCCAGACCCATCATCTGCCATCTCCTGCCCCTGTGGTCAACTTGTGTGTTTTCTCTGCTCACATCGGTGCTTTCCTCTTGAGTATCTGTGTTGATTTCTCCACCTCCTCTGTGAGGAAAGAGACACTGCTGCTCCCTCGAGGAGCTGATAGTAAGCATCCATTACCCCTCTGCATGAATCTGGATGGTGTGTGTGGACGTGTGTGTGGACCTGTGTACACGCTGATGAGCGCATCCTTTACCCCTCTGAACTGCATGCATCAGGGCGGGGTGTGCGTGTGTGTGTGTGTGTGTGTGTGTGTGTGTGTGCGTGCGCGTGTGTGTGTCTGCACTGATGGGATTCTGGCCAGCACACCTCCACCCTCACTGTGCCTTCCCTGGGAGGCGCCCTAAGAACACACATCTCATACAAAAGTGAGCATGGTAGGGGAGCTCAGTTCTCCGGTCCTCCTCCGGCATGAGATGCACACTGTAGGAGATGCAGCCCCAAGTCTGTGCTGGTCCACCTGCTCCCTTCTGGCGTCCCCCTTAGCAAGGGCCAGAAAGATCCAGAGAACTCCACAGGAACAGCCTTCAAATCATAGGGGCCTGGGGGGCAGGGGAAGGGCATGCCTCATGACCCCTGGGAGGAACGGCTGTGACCGCCGCCTGCTTAAAGCCAGTGGGAAACAAGGCAACCTCCTCAGCCGTCTTCCAGCTTGTGGCTCTGAGTCCCCGAAGTGGATTAGCACTGCTCTCAGCTCCAAGTCTGAAGGCTGAAAGCTGTGTTCCTGGATCTCCACTGTCCTCCCACATGGGGATGGAGATGGGGCGGGGAGGAAGAGGAAGGACATATCCTGTGCTGCCGCCCTGAGCGCCTTGCCTACCAAGGAACTGAGTGCCCACCGGCCCATAGGCATCTTCACCAGTTGGTCCTCCTCCCATTTGACAGCTATTGGAAAGTTTGGGGATGATGGGGCATTGTTGCAATATTTGGGGACATATACCTTTGCCCATGTCCACAGGACAGTCATGGGGCTGCCCTGGCAGTGACCCCAGTCCAGCAGGGGTGGAGAGTTGGGGTCCAGCAGTATCATTATCAGGAGCAGGAGCGGGGGCCTCCTAGGTCTGCCACATCCTTGCCCTGTCTTGGAGGAATCCTTAGCTGGGAGGGAGGAGAGGAAGAGGCAAATGAAGAGCAGAGCTGGGGAATAAAGATCCTCTGCATTCTAGAAATGGGAAAGTGAGACCAGGAAGAAGTGGCCTCCCAGACCCGTCCTGCCCCGGGCAGGGTCCTCAGCCCCCCCAGGTTCAGGTAGTGGGCACGACAGAGGAGCTGTCGGGCCGGCTTTTAGGGCCTGGTTTGGTGCTGAGTTCCAAGCTGATTTATAGGATGAGCTGGTGACAGCTCTGAGTGTTCCTCCCCGAGCCTTGGTTTCCCCAGTGGCTCCTGTACATCAACCAAAGAGTCCACTGTGGCCCTTGATTTTGCTCTGGAGTCTGAGCAGCAGGGTGCACACTCTCTCCTAGAAAAAGGCTGCTCAGGCAGCAATCGGGCCATCTCTGGAGAGGCTCTGGCCAGCAGCACTGACTGGGAGCTTGTCAGCAATGCAGACTCTCGGCCCCCACCCAGGCCTACAGAAGTGTAATCTGCCCTATCACGAGGCCCCCGGGTGATTCGTGCCCATTAAAGTGTGAGAAATTTGCTCTTGAATAGTAGTTCCCAAAGTGTGTTCCCCCCTTCACCCCCAGTATCACCGGGCGCTTGTTAGGACTGCAGAGTCTCAGGCCCGCTCCTAAACCTCCTGAGTTGGAATCGGCTCTTTATCAGGTCCCCAGGTGTGCACTCAGTGCGAGAAGCCGCACTGTGGGGCACTGCCCGCCTGCAGCTTAGTGGGGGCCTAATCTCTCTGCCCCTCTGCTCTCTCCACCTGGCAGACCTGCGGAATGGTTCTCACCTGCTGCTTACACCGGAGGCTCCAGCTGCATTTTCACTAATGGCCAACCGTGTACCCCCCTGACTGCCCCTTACAAGGACAGGCACCCAAATCCCATCTGCCAGGCCTGCAGAGTCAGCACCGGCTCACCTAGAAACTCCCAGAAAGTCCCCGTCACCTGTACCAGCCCCCTTCCGACCCAGCAAGTGGCCAAGACCTTGGCTCCTGCGGTTCCCACCCTGGCCAGGGACTCTTGGTCCCTCCCTCCTCTTTGAGTGTTCACTGCCCGAATCCCTGGGCAGGGACCAACCCTCTGGGGGCACAATAGCCGAAGCCCCTCATCAGACATTGAGCTCCCATGGATCACAAGAGGATAAGAGAGAGCTGGGCTCTCTGCTCCCTCCCAGCTCCTGAACCTAGAGCAAAGGGCTACAAACCTTAACCCTCTGGGATGCCTGCATTCAGTGTGATGCCCACCGGTGCCGAGTAGCCCTCCCTTTGCCTCTGCCGTAGGCTTTGGATGCTTTGCTCTCCCCTCCAGAAACTGTA